CTAAAAAGAGAGCAGATCCTTGACCTGTCAATCAAGGATCTGTTTAAAAAAAATAAGACTTAGAATTTGTAGGATTTATATTACGAAATAGGATTTGAAAATATTATGGGGGTTTGAAAATTGTGGATAATTTAGTAAGGTTTTACAGAATAAAGGCCAGAATCCTCGGTCCTGTTGTTCTCTCTGCCACAACCAGCACCCGCTCCTTTTGTCTCGTCATTAACCATGCTTCGTATCCCCATATGACTGCTGAATTGGGTGATATTACAACGGTAAGACAAAAATTATAAGTGAGCGGAAAACGCCAATGCTGTTGATTTCGTTTCATCAATGAGTAAAGGTGGGGTGCAGACTCTCGCTGTTTATTATGCGTTTTTTGCATCTATGCAATGCAGAAAACGCATATTGACGACGGGTCGTCAGTGTGTGGGTTTGTGTCTGTGCTTCTGTGTGTGCGACTGTACCGATTTTTCACCTCAAGACCTATAAAAGCTACAGGGCTGAAGCTTTGCGAACATCATCTACATGAAAGTACGGGTCCCAATCACCAAATGGGTGCTCTTACCCGCGTGGTGCCCGCGTACAGGCCCGCCAAAGTTTTTTGCGGGTAAGTTGCTAACTAGGGAACCTGAAAAGCTAGAAGATTGGAATTTTAAGGGGATGTTCCCCATCAATGTAGGTATTAATGAGCTCAAAAGTAGCTCTCGAGTATGCGTGTTTCCTATGTAGGAGCCCGTGAAAGTTTTTTGCGAGTAATTTTCTAACTCGGGAACAAGGAAAGCTAGAAAACTGAAATTTTAAAGGGATGTTTTCTGACAGTCCTGGCGTCCAGTCTTCATTTTCTAGCTAAGAGCATCTGCCGGGAAAAACGGTGTCATTATAGACAAAATTTTGCTGGGAACTATGCAAAAAACGCATTTTTGCACCGGCATTCGGTATGCTGGCCATTTATTCACTTAGGTAGACACAGATGTTTATATATTTCTAGTAGTCGTCACTAGTATTTAATAAAAGCTGAAGGTCGAAGAGATCTTAATAAATGAATGCGGTGTCACTTTTATTGTTTTCTGGGGTAGTAACAATTCTTTGCATATAAAAATTCAATTTTTCACGAAACTGCTTCTAGTGATAGAAATATCAGTGCTTTTGCTACTGCAGTGAAAAGCGTTGGCCGCGAAATGTAGAGGCGCGATGGCAGTTGCAGTGCAGCAACATGAACCGCAAGAGCAGCAGCACAGACCGGAAATCGACATGGGCCTGAAAAAGAAAGCCGAATCATTCGACGAACTGAATTCTTCAGTAACTGGTGCCACCCAAGAAGATGAGGTTCGTACTGTACGTACCTCCCCATTCATGGTATGAACTTCTATGCTGGTCTAATTCAATTCGATTCTGGATCGTGTCTTCCCACAGAACCCAGGCGCTGGACTTCACTGCTGTTACGAAGTAGAACTTAAGGCTGAGGAAAGCCGAGCGAGAGGGAGCGAAGGGAAGTTGTGTAGATTGTGTTCCACAACAATCTTTACAGTTTCAGACTGCTGATGAGCAACAACGCCAACAACAACAACAACAACAACAGCAGCAAGAATGTTCGCAGTCATACTCGATGCCCTCGACATCTCTGCATCTCGATTCAGCTTGGCAGCAGAGAGTGCGCGAATACGTGGCCACATCGATGCAAGGAGTACTCAATGACGAAGAT